ACAGACTGCTACGCTAGAAGGAACCTTTAAGGTCATCAAATCCAACCCCTCACCAGACAGGAATTGCAACATCTTTGACCGATGGTCTAGCCTTTGCTTCTGGTGATAAAGAGCTCACTACTTAATGAGACAACCAATTCTATTGCTAGACAAATTTAATTATTAGAAAGGTCTTCCTTAATGAATCTGAATATGCCTCCCTATACCTTCCACCCAATGGTCATAGTCTTGTGGTCCTCTACAGCAGTAAAGAATATTTGATTCCTCCTTCAACATCTAGTGACAGCAAACAAGAGTTATGTCTTTTCACCTTCAGTGGTAAGTTTAGATTCAGTCTTTCTAATGTCATTTATATTCATAGGAAAGTTGGGATTTGGGTGAAGAAAAGTGAAAGAGGGTACAGTACAGAGCATTACCAATTAAATTTTTTTATTTTTCCATAATTCCAGGCCACAATACACATTTTAGCAAGAGACACACCATAAATTCCACATTCCACAACAGAATGAGAACAAAGCCATCCTCCTTAACTTTCACTAACAAAGAGACTAAGCCAAATCTGCCTCTAAAATTTTAAGTTACTATACTTACCTATGCCCTTGCAAAGAGATCATATGTGGTCAAGAGCTTTGTCTCCACCTCTTCTGTACATTTCCTATGTACCTACTTATTTACACATCATTTTCCCTATTAGAATGCAAGCTCCTTGAAGGCAAGGACTATTTTGATCGTTTGGTGTATCTCTAGTGCTTAGCATAGTGCCTGGTACATAACAAGCACTTAATAAATGCTTATTGACTGATTAATTGATATCTAGAAGTCTTTTTTCTAAAACATGGCATCCCTTGGCATTGCTAACTTGGAACAGGAGAGTCATTTTGTTTCTCTTCCTCCTCAAGTCCTGTTGGCTCTAACATTCCTTGACTCTATTGATGTGGGTGCCGTTATTTTGATGATCACATATTCAGAAGTCAGTTCTAATAAGTACACTTTTGCTGAATATCACAAGTTCATATGACTTAGAGTTGGGAGCTTACTTAGGGGACATCTTGCCCATGCCTCTCATTTTATAGATGAGGAAACTGAAGTCCAGAGAGGTACAGTTACACAAGTAGTAAGTGGCATAGCTGTGATTCAAATTATGGATCCAAGTCCAGTTTTCTTTCTACAACACCATACTAGTGGAAGGGCACACATGGAAACCCCAAGCCTCCCTGCAGCCCAAACCAAATAAGTTTAATTTGTGCCCATAATAGACTATTTACTTGCTACCTGTAGTAATTTTTTTTAAAGGCAATTGGGGTTAAGTGACTTGCCCAGGGTCACACAGCTAGTAAGTATCAAGTGTTTGGTCTGAGGCTGGATTCGAACTCAGGTCCTCCTGACTTTAGAGCCGGTGCTCTATCCACTGCACCACCTAGCTGCCCCTTACCTGTAGTAGTTTTTAATGAATGGGCAGTGGAAATGAAGGAGATATGCTTGTTTTTTTAGTGTATTCTGTCTGCTGATTTTTAATCATTGATTTTCCAATTGTTAATTTCCACTCTGTCAAACTGGTAAGAAAATACAAGCTCTCCCCAACTCTCCTAGATCTGGGGAACACAAAATATAAGACTGTTTTCTTCTTGGCAATTAGTAGGTTTCCAACATTTACCAAAAATGACTTTTGTCACTTCCCTCCCTAATACACCCCACCGATTCCTCAGGCCTCTAGGATCAGATATAAACTTCTCTTTGACAAATAAAGTCCTTTGTCACCTTGAGCCAACCTCCCTTTTCAGCCCTATTACATATCACCTCCCTTTATACGTGTTGTAGACCAGCCAAACTAGTCTGTTTGCTGTGTCTCACCAACAACATTCTATTCCCTCTCTCTTCTTACCTTTGCACATCTTGTCTCTGACACAAAGGGAGTGGAATGCCCTCCCTCCTGACTTCCAAGGAGGCCTTTCTTGTTCTCCCCAGCTATTAATGCTTTCCACACCACAAAATTACCTTGTATTTTACTTCATACATATGCTTATATATACTTATGTTATTTCCCCTGATAAAATATAAACTCCCTGAGGGCAGGATTATTTCATTTTTGGCTTTTTATCCTTAGCACGTAGCACATAGGATCTTAATGTTGATTACTAGACTGTGATAATAGGTCATCCTGGATAGAATGCTAGTCTTGGTGTCAGAAAATCCTGACATCTCCCTTACATACACACACACACACACACACACACACACACACACACACACACACACACACACACACACACACACACACACACTTACTAGCCATATGACCCTGGGCCACTCAACCTCTATCTACCTCAATTTATTCACCTGTAAAGTTGAAATGATAGTACCTATCAATATGATAAACACAGAAATGCATAGGAAGACTTCTATGAACTGATGCAAAGTGAAGTAAGCAGAGTCAAGAAGACAATATACATAGTGACTATAAAAAATGGAAAGAATAGCCACAAAAAGCAAATAAAAATGAATGTGACAAAATTACAAAGAGCAAGCTTAGCCACAAAGATGAGATGAGATGTTCCACCACCACCACCACATACACACTCCTTTGTAGAAGAAAGGGTCTGTGGGTATAGGATATTGTATAATTCAGATTTTTTAAAAATCTGAATTTTTTTTAATTTTTAAAAATTTTTAAAAATCTGAAAAATTTTTTAAAAATACTGACAGACTTTGTTAACATTTTTTCTTTTTCTTTTAAAAAATTCTTTGTTAAAAGGCTTGGCTCCCAGGGAGGAGGGCAAGACACAGGGAAATTTAGGTGATGTAAAAACAAAAGATATCAATAAAAATAAAAGTTGGTGTGATAATAAAATGTCTATAGTGACATATAAAGAAATTTGCAAACTTTAAAGTACTATATGATTGATATTTATTATTTACTGTCATCATTATTAATAGCCTCTATGGCAGTTTTGGGCAAGAATCACAAAGGATGAGAAGGCATGTAATGGTTGCAAGCTATAGTATCAAAGTAACTAGTAGAATAAGAGTTAATAAGCCCAATAATGGAATCACTTCTCAGAATTTAGCATCACAGTGTAAAGCAAGCTGAAAAGCCTTTATCCCTTTATCCCTAGAGACCAGTTCAGTACTAGACCAGCTCTGGATTTTGTGCTTGGGCCAGGCTCTAGTCTCGAGAGGTTCTATGCAGTCCCATCTACTTCCAGTCTAGAGAATCTAGAAAACCCAAGTCAGTCAAAATACATTAAAAATTGTATCTAGGATTAACTTGGGGCTGGGGATTCCAGGCCAATGAACATACAAGCATCTCAAACCGAGTATGTTCTTAGGCCTGCCATGAAACCAACCTAGACCTCATGATAACCCCAGATCACCTGCTAGGCAGCCAGGTGGAATAATGGATAGAAAGTATGAAAGGCCATTCCAAATAATTAATAGGAAAAAACGCAAATGAAAACAGCTCTGACATTTCACCTCACCTCTAGCAAATTAAAAAAGATGACAAAAGATAGAAACAGTCAATTTTGGGGAAGCTGTAGGAAGACAACCACACTAATGGGTTATTTGGGAAGGTGTGAATTGGTTCAACTCTTCTGAAGAAGAATTTAAAATTATGAAGTCATCCAAATGTTCACATACTTTGACTCAGAGATCTTACTGCTGAGCATGTACTCTAAGAAGATCAAAGACAGAAAAATTAAGCCTAATACATGTCATAATATTAATAGCAGTATTCTCTGTGGTAGCAAAAATGCAGGAAACAAAAAGGGGATTAGGGAATAACTGGATAAATGGTGGTACATGAATGTACTAAAAGATACTACAGGTTAAATCATACTAAAAGATACTACAAATTAAAAACGTGGGAAGAATTGTATGTAGTGATGAAGAGTTAAGGAAGACAATGTGCATGATGTAAATGAAAAGAACCCTAAATGTAAACGAAAAGTAATGTAAATGAAAAGAACCCTAAAATGATGCATAATCCTATGCAATTGTAATGACCAATCTTGGCCTTGGAGAAGAGATGAGGAACTAGGTTTCCTTCCTTTCCTTGGACAACCTTACCTGATGCCCCGAATTCTAGCGCCTTCCCTCTACTTGCATTTATTTTGCATATACTTACATGTATGTATTATCTCCTTGATAGGTTAATTTGTATTTATTTTGCATATACTTACATGTACATATTATCTCCCTGGTAGAACATAAGCCCTCTGAGAGCAGTTTAATTTTCATCCGTGTATCCCTACTGCCTTGCCCAGTGCCTGACCAAGAAAATGCTTATCGACTGATGGGTATAGAATAGTGTGTCAAAGTTGCTGTGTATATTGGCTTTGCTCAGCTAACAATAATAGCTAGCATTTATATAGAGTTACAACACGTGTTATTTCATTTGATCCTCGCAACAACCCTGGGAGATAAGTGCTATTATTTTGCTCCTTACACAGGTGAGAAAATTGAGGCTAAAAAATTAAGTGACTTGCCCAGGGTCACACAGCTAGCTACAGTGTAGCAGAATTTGAATCCAGGTTTTCCTGACTCTAAGTTCAACACTGTCCACTGTGCCACCTAGCTATTTTCTTTGTCACAAGGGAAGATTATCTAGGTGATAAAGACAGGAAAATTATCCAGAAATAATTATGATATAAAGCTAAAAAGGCCAATTTACCTTTATCAGACATTATGACTAGCTTTTATATAGTGCTTTAGGGTTTGCAAAAGCACTTCAGAATGTTATTTTATTGGATCCTCACAACAACCATGGGAGGTTTATGATTCCCATTTTACAGATGAACTGAGGCAAATAGAGGTTAAAAAACTTGCCCAGGATCATACAGCTAGTAAGTGTCTGAGTCTGGATTTGAACTTAGGTGTTTCTGAACTTCAGATCTTGTGTGCTGTCCACCACACCCAGATGTATAGGTATTTTATCCCTTTCTCTAACCAAAAACCATGAAAAACATCCAGTGCTCAGTAAAGCAGGAAATGAAAGACACATATAAGATGGACAAGTTTTAGTACTTTTAATGTGGTTTAATATGTTCAGTATCACATACTGGTCAATGCAGATAAAAGAATGGGAGGAGGCTTCTTCACCAACCAAATCCCCAGAAGTCAGTGCTGACCCACTAAGCAGAGAAAAGTGAACAGCTAAAGGAATAAAGATTTGTGCTATTTTAATAAAGGCTCTGGTTTGAACTTAACATGTAGGAAAAGTGTTATGGAAAATTGCAAATCCTCCTGTCTGAGAAGAGAAGCAGAAAAAAAAAAAACACAGAAAACCCCATCACACTACAACCCTTTGTTAATATACTGAATAAGGCTTCTTGCATAACAACTGTGACTATAAGCGTACATTAAAGTATTGATGTATACTACAAAGAACCGTTATTGAAATATAAATGCATAGAGAAAAATAGTATATAATCTTAAAAATAGACCTTAATAGAAACAGTATATCAGTTTGGTCTCTTTAAGAGAATATAGAGTACACAAGGGAAGACCCATGGTTTGCCCTGTGCTGTGAGTTTCTGAGTTCACAAACAGTGATCAAGTTTGGGCCTAAATAAATGGAAGCTGACCATACATGCAGCCCAGGCTACCAATCTAGAGCAGGCATCTACAAGCTATGGCCTGTGGGCCAAATCTGGCCTGCCAGCCCGTAAGCTAAAAATGGCTCTTCTATTTTAAGATAAAGTTTTATTGTATTTAAAAATGTAAAAAACCATTCTTGGCTAGCCTGCTGTACAAAAACAAAGAGAAGGCCAGATTTGGCCTGTAGTTTGCTGACTCTAGTCTAGAGCATCCTTGGCACCCCATGAAGAATCTGGTCCCTTCCCCCACTGTTGTGTGTGCCTACAGAAGCCAGGATATTCAAACAGCTGAATTAAGTACACAGTCAAATTTACATACTGAGATTTAGCAAGGAAAAAAAAGGCAACAGGGAAGGAAAAAACTAAACCTCGAATAAAACACAGGGAGTATAGCTTTAAAAATTTTACGGTACTAGTCAGAGTGAAGATGGCGGCTGTCATTGGCTTTGCAGTAACAAACTATCTTGTAACAGTTTTGTTATTTTTCAAAGAGTTACAACAGGCTTGTTTATCAGGAAAATAACTTAGTTTGTTAAGAGCTTATATCTATGTATGCCACAATTATTTTAATAGGCTACCCATTTTTAAATAGGCAGTATATAAACTGGTACCAAAGTATTCACAGCCTATGCATTTCCATAAAAGTCTTCATAAATGCAGCCAGCTTCTGAACATCCTCCATGGTGACCGCATTATACAGGGAAGCACGAATTCCTCCGACAGACCTGGAGAAACCAAAGGGAAAATGTTTGAGAGCCATACATGAGAGAAGTTTACAGAATACACTGCTTTCCATTCACCCTTTTCTGAAGGACATTTTTAAGACTGGAATCAGACTATGAAGAGATCTTTCAAGGTTATCAAGGCCAATCTTTTTACCCAATATAGGAAATGCAACATTCTTCATGGCCATCTAGCCTTCGCTTCCAGTGATGAACACCTGCTAAGTAATGAGATGGCCAGTTCCATCATGAGACAGTTCTAATTAAGGAAACATATCTCCCTATTGCTTCCATTCACTGGTCATAGATTTTGACCTCTGGAATAATAAAAATCTGCTCCCTGCTCTAATACTACCAAGTCTTCCTAAAGTCTTTTTACCCTCAGCTTATAACAACAGTTAGCTCTGCGCATGCTCAGACAGCCATTTGGTTTCATAATAATTCTGAATTTAGACTGTCTAATGCCATTAATATTTATGGAGAAGTTGGGATGGGGGGAGGGGTAAGGAGAGTACAGCACAATAGAGCATCACCAGCTAAAGTTGTTTGCTTTTTTAACAAATAATTCCAGGTTACAATATACATTTTACATGCATTTCAAAAGAAAAGACACAATGTCAATTTCATATTGCACAAGAAAATAAAAATGAGGATGATCATTTCTGTGATGATGGTTCTTTCTCACCAAGTTATATAGTTGGTACTCTTAAAAAAAAAAAAAAACAACACTAAAGGACAGGTCCCCAGCCATCCAACTCAGTTAACTTGTACTTTTTCCTGCAAAGGCTAAGCCAAATCTGCCTCAAACTTTTGAGTTGTTATACTTACCTATGCCCTTTTAAAGAGATCATGTTAAGGTCAAGAGCTTTCTCCAGAAATTTCTTCTCTAAATGCTCATCTCCCTTAGCATTACCAATACGGAAAGGGATGTTCATTTTACTTCTGCTCTGTTTCTCCACTGGGCATCTGAAAAACACTGCATTGGTTAAAGTATCTGTTCTGGAATGCGTAGATTGTTACCAACAAATTTTACCTTAAAATCCTCCTGTGTCTAAGGCATTGTTCTTGAGACATTTAACAATCTAGTTGGGGAGAGATGGCAGGAACACAAGAAAAGGTAATATGAGGAAATAGCCAATCTATCAGCCAACTAGCATTTACTAAGCACCTACTTTGTGCCAGACCCTGGGCTAAACACCAAACATAGAAGAAAACAGTCCTTGCTCTCAAAGAGGAGAAGAAAGGAGAGTAGGGGAAGAGTTCAGAAAAGGGAGAAATCACAGCGAGCTGGGTGGGGGTAGTTAGGGCAGGCCTTTTACTGAGGAGGTGATGGCATGACTTAATAAACCTTATGGAACTGAAATGAGTTTAGCAGGCTGAAGAAGGGGACACTGCATTCTAATTAGGGGTAACAAAGCATTGTGTAAGAATTAGGATCTTTCTTTCTCTCTTCATCCCTTTCTTCCTCTATTTCCTCTCCATCTTTCTTCCTCTTTGTCTCATCTACTCTTTCTTTCTCTTTCTTCTTCCTTTTTCTGCCTCTCTCTCTTCCTCTTTCTCTCCCTCCTTCCTTCCTTTCTTTCTTCTACTTATCCATAGATTTATTATTTGGTATGCTTCCATTTCCCTCTCTCCCCCAAGAAAAAAAATTACCATGTTATTTATTTTGTAAATAATTAATTTATGTATATGTTGTCTCCTCCAATAGACTGTAAGCTCTCCAGACAAGGGATTGTTTCATTTTTATCTTTGTATTTTTAGTACCAGGCACAGTGTTTGGCATACAGTAGATGCTTAATAAATGTTTGCAGCTTGATTAAGTAATATGAAGTCTTGCACTACAGTCCTAACCCAATATCTTATCAACCACACCCAGGATGGGGATAATTCTGGGTCCCTGAAGTCTATCCCAAGGAAGCACAAGCTTTGGCAGGTGCTATACAAAGCTGGAGAGGCCCTAAGCATGGGCCCATGGCTAATACCTCTCTCAGGGACCAGTCTAGCTAGGTTCGGAAGGCTGGCTGAAGGATGGGGCATTTTCAGCTCCAAAATCTCTCAAAGAACATCTAAATTAGAAAAAGGTTGGGGATTGTGCAAGCAGAAAGAGTATTATATCAGCAAATCAGACTTTCTTAAGGTATTTATGTAATACAGCAAAACATCATTATTTTGGACTCTACTAACTTAAAATCTCCAATAATTAGATCTGGGCTGAACTGAGGTTTCTCTTTGCACAATCTGTGAAGAAAGGGTGTGGGAAGTAAATGAATAATGTAAATGAGATTATAGGAAGCATGATTAATCTACTGGAGAGAACAAACTGTTTTTCAAGGCTTCAGCGTACAAAACTGTTTAAATGCAAATAATGCTAATTATCACAAATTTCATCTATTCATTATAGCAGGCCCAGTAGGGGGCACTTTTGTATAGCAGGCCCAGCAGGGGTCACTTTGTCAGCAGTTACTGTAGGTACTTAAAAGTAATAAAGCTCCATTTCTTTAAGAATATTCTGTAATTTCTGTATTTCAGCGTTTCATCTAAGAAAGGTCCCATGGTGAAGCAGAATGGGGCCCATTCTGTCTAGCCAGCTGCAAACTAGGTCACGCCTTACATCCCATCTACCCACCCAGCTGTCCACTTGGGTCATCTTGCCATGTGCCCTGCAGGAGATAGGGTCTCACTCCTAAACTCCTTTTCTACTTCTTGCTCTGTGCACAGTAATTAAATCAATACTATCCTTGCTTTGACTGACTACCCTTTGGATCTACTCACCATTCTTATGACTCCACTGACCATGATTCCCTTCCCTGGTGACCATTCCCCTACACAACACAGATGTGGATGCACAGGGAACTCCCTAACCAATTTAGAATATTAAGAGAAATGTAGAGATGATGGGAGCAAGGCCAGGTAAGAGAGAATTAATATGACTGTGGCATGGACCACATAAAAATACTGTCAGCAATGCAGAAAGACAAAATAAGCCAAAGCTTATTTTAGAAAGCGAAAGACAACAAAAATATTCATTGTTTTGGTTTTTGCTTTTAAGCTAGATTGGGAAGAAAAAGGAGGTTCGAGAAAGGGATAGGAACTCTGCTTGGGATGGATGGAACAATGATAACTGACAACAGGAAGACAGCAGAGGTGTTTAATTTTGTTTCTATTTTCTCTGTGGAGGAGAATGACCTTTACATTAGAAGTAACAGAGCAAAATTGACTAATATGGAACTGATAGCTGTAGTTAGAAATAAGAAAGCTTTCCATGAATCCCGGTCCCCTGACCTAGATAAAACTACATCTTCTGGCCCTATAAGAACTGGCCGGTGTGATCACTGAGCCATCACTGGGAAGATTTAAAAGATCATGGAAAAGAAGAGAGATACCATGAGGCAAGAGAAGGGCAGTGTTCTTGGGCCCTTCCTGCTAAAGTATGAAACTTCTCTGCTTTATCTGAATTCATGACCAGGTGTGCAAGGGATTAAGGACTTGGCAGGCAAGACAGGAAATCTCTCTTAGAGAAATCTGATGTATCGCCATAAAATTTTGCGAATGCAGATACTCGAGCATTATTAGCGAGGGGCAAGTAGTAACAGAATCTGAACGGTATTCTCCCATCTAAAAACTACCATGCTTGGCTGGAGGGTGCTCAATGGATATGGAGGAACCTTACTGACAACCAGCAATTCTTGCCTAAGGGAAAAAAATCGCAGTTGGCTCTTGGGTTCTGATTTTGAAAATAATGAGCAACTGAGAATATTTTCCAAGGATACTATAGAGATAAAAGAAAGAACAACTAAAAAGCTCTTTTCTAGGAGGACAAAACCTAGATGTATCATGCAGTCATTCATTTACTTATTTATTTTTAAGCAGAAGAACATTCCATTTTATTTGAAGTCTCTACTAGGTGGGATTCATTAAAATTAAACTGCAAATAAAAGCAGTGGAAGGGAAGTTCCCATTAAAAGTTATACTCTCCCCTAGAGGCACATACATAATTCCTATGAAAGTTAATAGGAGTCAAGCATACCCCTTTAAGGCAGACTAGATAATAAAAGGGAATAACCAAATACCTTGTAATGGGCTTTGGATCTGAATTGCTGTCCCTTCTTTTCCATGAGATGCTTGGTTATTTCATAGCTGACATTTAAATTAAAAACACCACAGCTACGCTGTTTAGACATTCTACTGCTGGGAAAATGCAATGTGCTGGTGGTTCCGGTCTTGATGTTTAGCAATTAAATGCACATCTTATTTGGAAAAAAGAACAGCTACCATGTGGAAAATTGGTGTTTAAGGCTTCTCCCCACCTCCCCAAAAAAAATCACTCTTTCTACGCAGTACTTATGGCACAATAGATAAAAATCACTGACCTTGGAGTCAGGAAGACCTGGGTTCAAATCCTACCTCAGACACATACTAGCAGTATGACCTGGGGAAGATACTTAACTGCTCTCTGCCTCAGTTTCCCCTTCTGTAAAAATGGGAATAATAGCATGTACTTTATAGAGTGGTTACGAGGACTGAACCAGATAACATATGTAAAAGGGCTTTGCAAATCTTAAAACATTATTTAAATCTTAGCTATTATAAAGGAACATAAGAGTCTATTAGACATCTTTCAAGTAATCCTGCTGCTGGCCAACTTTGTGACTTTGGAAAAGTCACTTCACTTGTCGAGGCCTCAGTTTCCCCATCTGCAAAATGTAGGAGGTGGATTAGATGATCCTTAAGCCCTGTTCTAGTAACAAGGGTCTACCAGGTTTCTATGAAAATGAAAACCTGAAGTTCATATAATGCTGGAAGGAATTTTAAAAGCCCACTTAGCTGTCATCTCAGAGAGGAGGGAAATGCCAAAGACTAAAAACAATAAATTCAGCCTTGAAGTTTTAGTCTTCAGAAATGAATTCACTAAGGTTCAGGTCCTCTATAACTTACTTTACGATGGCTAGGAGGTACAGTGCATGGAGTGCTGGACTAGGAACAAGAGTTTAAATGTGGCCTCACAAACTTACTAAATGTGTGACCCTGGGCAAGTCACCTAACTCCTCTCAGCCTCAGTTTCCTCATCTGCAGAATGGAGAAAATAAATCAGTACCCACCTCTCAGAGTTGTTGTGAGGATCAAATGAGACAGCCCATGGAAATCACTTTGTAAACCTGCAAATGCTATATAAATGCATTTTTTGTTTGTTTAGTTGTTTTCACTTACGACTGACTCTTTGTGATCCCATTTGGAGTTTTCTTGGCAAAGATATTAGAGTGGTTTGCCATTTCCTTCTCTAGCTCATTTTACAGATGAGGAACTGGGAATGGGCAATGCTGCATATGCTCTCATAATGGATTGCGTTTTTTTTAACCCCCAACAGTTTTGCTTTTTTACAAGGGTGGGCTCAGTCAGAGACGAGGTATTTAGGGAAATTACGGGGGCACAACAAAGCAAAAAACAGAAAGCACCAATAAAACTTTTTTTTTAATTTAATTGGTGGGACAGCTAGGTGATACAGAGGATAGAGCAACAACCCTACAGTCAGGAGGACCTGAGTTCAAATTCGACCTCAGACACATAATACTTACTAGCTGTGTGACCCTGGGCAAGTCACTTAACCTCATTGCCTAGCCAAAAAAAAAAAATTTGTTGGCCACATACACTGAAAGAAGATGGGATCTGAGGTGGGTTACAAAGGGCCCCAGTGTGAAAAAACAAGGTTACCACTTGCTACCGTACATTCTAGTCTAACAATGGGACTGTAACTCCACCCAAGTATCACAATGAACCAGAATCATTGCATGAAGTCAACCCAGTGCTTCTAAAGGATGCATCAATATTAGGGGTTATGGCAGGTCCTATATAGCTGGAAAGGCTTAGGACATGGGCCAGGAAAAGAACTGTTGTCCCCACCAACCTGGCTAAATTCACAGAGGCTGGCTTCTAGAGAGTGAATTTTCCTGGTAACAATTATGATGATG